CTATTGAATCATGCTGTCACTTACTTATCACATCATCCAAAGATTTTATGATTCCTTTTAACTACCATCCATCAGAATTCTGTCTCAGATATCCTCTGCTTAAAAAGGCACATCCTCTAGAGTTTCAAGAACACCTTTCACTATTGATAGAGTAATCAAAGGTATACTGCTACTTAAAATAAATAAGTACATTTTAATATATTTTACTTAATTTTATTTTGTTCTTCAATCTGGTTTCTTAGTTTCCATATATTTATGTATATATTTCCATATGTTATATATATTTATGCATACATGTACATATATAATATAACCATAATCTCATACTAGAAAAAAAAAAACAAAACAGAAAACATAGAAGATTTTTTTCTGAATCTGGCCATCTTCCTAGGAAAGAGCTGATTGATATAAGGACTTCAGGGTTGGGCCTTAAGAGCTCACCTGTACTCAGGGAGCCCAGATGGGCAGTGTATGGCTTTCTGCCAGGAACAGAATGGCTTTCTATGAAATCATGAAGCCTTCAAAATTTATCTTCCAAAGTTGTTCATTAAAGAAAACTGAGCAGAAGTCAAAGCTAAAGAAAGTCATAGCATCTTAGACCAGTGCACAACACACATAAGTGCAAAATATTTTTTTGACAAATACAATATACTTCTGCAGCAAGTTTCAGTTTTACTGAATTGGTGCTTTCTGACAAAATCAAATGTATTTTTGGCCCACATGTGAATCAATTTCATGTCTCTCTTTTCCAGCCTGCATGAGGTGTTGGCTAAATTTTTCCCATTCCTCCCTTGTTTTCACCCATGTTACTCCTGGTTAATAGTAGTGGCTCACCTTTTTCTGCTCCCAAAGTTTGATGAGGTAGAAATACATTAAAAAGGGGAAGAGAGAAGCCTTAAGAACCCTGACTTCTGTGAGTATGGTAAAAGGGCAGATTACAGTCTTCTCTTAAATTAGAAAATTAAACAGAAACTAATGCATGTCAAAGATCAAACAGGCAAGGAGTAATCTGCTGCTGCAATTACTACCAACAGGGATGGATTCAGTTGATACTTTCCAAATACAATTTGACATCTCATAAAAATTACAGCTAAATCAACAGAAACTAATTTCTGTTTTTCACAGGTGTCTATCAGGTTATAAACACACCTAACTTATTGGTCATAATAAATGCATAACGGAAGGATATAGTTTAATATGAGCCATAGACCTTCCAAATCACCTGTGAAAATAAACTGAAATGGAGTATTTCTGTCTGTCAGTAACAGTCCTGAAACATTTTGTGGCTTTTGAAAAATTAGATTTTTAGTGCTCTTTGACCAAAGTATTTTTTTACTCCCCTTATGATCTAGATGAGAATGGTCTAGTCATAGAAACATTTATCCCAGACCATTCCAGAGCAGATCTACTCCCTCATTCCATTGACCTAAACAGTATTGGACAGCACCAGTAGTTGTTTTCTCTTGATTTATTGAGCTCCTATTGCTATGCACCATTGCAGAAAAGTGTTTTCTTCAATTTTTGGGGGTTTGGTTTTTAAAAGCTATTTATTTCTTTATTTATTTTAAATAAACTCCTATGAGTTTATTTCAATACTTTGGTGCTACTTAGAGATTTTTAAAAAATTATTTGGAAAATTTCTAATATAATTTCAGTTGCCATGTACATAGTGCAATAATGCATAGAAGCAGTTGAAAAATAAAAAGTGGACATCAGGAGCAGAAATTCTGGTAATGGGAGAATACAGTTAAATGAAATGCATAACTTAAGTCACAAAGTCATGTTTTTACTCTACCACACCCAACCTTTCTTTATTAATTACAGAAATGCCTTTCCTGTATCTATAGCCCATTCAGATTTAGCAAATAAATTATCTCTAGTACCAAAGTAACAGCATAGCATAATCTTTACATAAGATTTATGGTGTTTAGAATGTTGTACTATTTTATATAAAAAGGCCAAAAGCTAATGCATAGCAAGTATGCAGGAAATAAATAAGTCTAACTGAGATAGAATGAGTGGGTACTTGTGATCTTTATGATTTGGTGTACTGTCTTCACAGGAATATACAAGCCACTTGGGCTAAAATAAAATAGATCATGTCTGATCTGCTGGTAGCAAAGTTGGACAAAAAAGTGATGTAATAAATATTGAAGAAGGTTGAAGTTATAACACAGGAAACTTCTTTTTGAAACAACACTGGACACATTCAAAATTAAAGTATAGGAAAATATCAGGAATCATACTTTGGCTATAAACCTTTACTCTAGGCTGAAACATGGCATAGTAAGCTTCAGCACAGCAGGATCATTCTCTTGTAATCACTTAATTCAATGTAAATCACTCTGAAAACAAAACATCTTCCCTCAGAATCATTCATACACTGTAATTCTTTCCTGTTATTTAAATATAACATTCTTTTCTTTTCTAAAACAAAACAAAACAAAATAAATCAAATCCTATATCAGGCTTTTCAGTGCTATGAAAAAAACCCCACCTATTACAGAAAGGAGATTTCTTCCCCCCTGTATCTTACTATCTTTTCTTTTTCTGAAGGAAAAAGATGTATAACCAAAGGTTGTGAAGATACAATTTACACACATACTTGACTAGCCAATATAGGGCCAAATCTTGTCTTAGGAAACATCAATACTGATTAAAAAGAAAATAAGATTATAATTTCTTATCAAAGGCTCCTGCATTTTAGAAGCAAACTATTCCATCTTGCAGTGGCAGAACAGAAATAATGAAACATATCTCCAGAAGATGGCTAATGAAATGTACTGCCTCCCTATAACAGCACCCACCATGGGCTCCCAGAGGACACCAGAGCTGTTGGGGAATGATGAATCTCAACTTTTAAACCAAAGGATTTCAGCAGTCATTGAGACTGTTTTCTGTGTAACCTCAGGCATGTAACCCCAAACAAACCTCATATGTTGGCAAACTGCTAGAAACTGAGACTTACAGAGTGGACTTTCATTTTACTGTAATCTATGTATGATAATTAGAATTGTTAAAAGTCAGGAAAAGAACCATTAGAAAAAAAAATAGAGATACCACAGCTTTAAACAGTTAAATTATAAGAGTGTGTTTTTTAAAAAAGACCTCAGTACAATGGTGAACTATCATATTAATTTCACTAAAAACACTGGCTAATCTAAACCTGCATGGCTGCAATACCTGCTGCTATTTCACTTCCCTTACCTTCTCTTTTCTGATATGTTTTTGCCCCTGAGAACAGGAAATCTGCTAATACATGGTATAAACCCATTTCTATTTTGACATCATTTATGATCTTAAAGCATGACTTCAACCTACTTCAACTGAGTTCAACTGTGCTACAAAATCAACAATATCAACATTAAGAATAACTTCCCTTGTAAATAAAGATCTAAGATGGGATCAACTAGATCAGTACAAAAGATCCATTGTTTTTCTACTGACCCAATAATTTAATAGTAAGGTTTGCTTATCTTTTCATTCAGACTGAAATTCATCTTTGTTTAGACTAGTGTCTAAACTTGGCACATTGGTCATATTCCATGGAAATTCTTTTTAAGCCCTATGAAGGATTTAGAGCTTTGGAGTGATATAGGCAATTCATAATCCACTGAAATTCACTTCAGAAACCTTAGATGCACACTGTGGCACCAGTGCTGAGCCTCACTGAGTTACTGAATCTGAAGCAGCAGGTTAGAAACCTCTCAGCCAAGGAATAAATGGCTTCAAAGATTAGAGAAGACATAGATGAGGCATCCTCTATTTTTCTTAGTGGCAAAACACAGTAAAACCAGTTTGGGGTACATAAGGCAAGATCAAAGAAATTTTGCTACCATGCAATTCAGATAATTAATTTGGTACAATTTCAAGGCGTTCAAATTTGTTCAAAATATTTTGACAAGCTCAATTCTGCATTGCTTGTGTTTATGCCAGCTCTCGTTGCTGATGTGTGTGACTTTTCATTGTATGCTTTTTCTATTCACCTGATGCTGCAGAGCATCAGACATGTATTAGCAACTTTAGAAATGTGCCCAACAGAAGTGAAAACCAGAAGTTTGCTACTGGGTCATAGTAAGTAGGGGGGTTTTCTTTTTTTTTTTTTTTTTCCTGGAAATGCACAGAAAAAAAGAAAATAAAACCTGTAATTCAAGCAACACAATAACCTAAAGTAGCAGATAAAGAAACTAAAATGGCCCTCTGAACAAATTGTCCTATACATTGCATAATGAAGCTACAGAGGAGAAAAAGGCAGCTGGATAGTCAGAATATTCAAAGGACTAAGTGTTGTTGAGATAATTAGCTCACAGCCCACTAGGTGCTATTGAGAAATACTGACATATAACATGGGATACCTTTAAACATCTCTACTGTAGTGTGAGGGAGAAGGGAAAAGGCTTTTCAACTATCTGAGATATGTGGGAAACTATTTACTAATAACAGTGGATATTTACCATATGTTTATGTAAACCAGATATGGCATATGCACTCACAAAACACAAACAAATAGGTGCAGTAATAAACAATTTCCCATCAGATAATCAAGAGCCTTTTTCCTCTAAAAATTACTTGCACTAAGGAAGAAATAGTATGTGACTTCAGTTGCAACTCTGAATGATGTTTAAGAAGCACTGGGTTTTGGATGTTTTTTCCCTAAAATATTTATCTTAGAAATTAAAGCAGTTTCAGTGTCTGCCAGAAATGTTTAATAAGCTGCAAGATAGCAAAATACAGTATTAAAATAGCAAAAAGTTTTTATTCTTTGCAGTGCTTTTTTTTTTTTTTTTTTTTTTTTTTTTAATCTAATTGGGACCAACTGGCCTCATTGCTTCTTATAAACTTAGCAATATATATTCAGAAAAGTGAATAAAAATGAACAGATGTTTCTCCTTAAAGAAGTCAGACAAAGATTTTTCTTACACAATAAATCAGCTGCTAGTGGATTTCCAGGACACTGCAAAAGGCTAACTGTTTAGGCATGGCTTATAAACCTGGTTTACCTCTGTATGGATCCAAAACTGGTAAAGCAGATTAAATTGTAGATGAACAGCAAACACTGAAGGGGGAATGAAAAGAGCCATGGGCAAGTTGAAAATCTGAAAAATGAGAAAGAAAATATATGTTAGATATAGATTCTAAATTTGTGGTGGTATAACCAAGTACTATCTCAGGAGCTCAAAGCACTGCACAAGATAAATGCTTCTTCTGGTATCTCCATCATGCAGACTTTAGATAGAATAGACACTGATTATTATATTACTATTAGATGTGCTATATCAAATGAGACATATACTGATGCAAAAGTAATTTCCCAAAAGTCATACTAAGCAAATAGAAAAATCAAGAAAATAACTCAGAAATCCTGAAACTAAACATGTTTACTCTGTATACTACCCAGAGCAGACAGCAACACATCCTTGACACGAAGGGTTCACTTATAGGGGAGAATTATCGAGGAGTATGCAAGGTGTGAATTTACAACATTATAGCTTTTCCATCCAAACTCCCTACGTGAGCACCATAAGGGCAAGGCAGCTTACTTGGCTTTCAAAGTTAATTATAAATTCTCAGCCTAATTTCCTCACAGCATCTCCCCTGAAGTCCCGATACAGTTCTGAGCTCTACAGATGTACTAGCATGAAAACAGTTTCAGAAAACTGCTTCCTTAGGAAAGACACTGGTATCTTTAATGCAGAGTCAAGTCCCAGGAATTTCACAATTAATTGCTGAACTGGCTGTACAAAAGAGTAAGTCTTCTGACATGTTCATGTGTTAAAAGTCAGTCTGCTTTCTTCAGAAGAAGACTTTTATTTATTTATTTATTTATTTATTCTTACTATTTTTTTTCTTGAACCTGACATTGTATTATACCAGCTGCATCAAGAAGTTAAACCTTTCTTAAAACAGATTTTCTCTAAAACAAAGAGTAGCTGAAATATCTTCAAAATTTTAAAACTCTTCAACACTCAGGAGAAGCCAAGGTAACAAATAAGAGCTTCCTGTGAAACATGGCAAAAGTAGCAAAATCCATTTTAAAATTCCAATTGCCCTGCTCACAAAAAACAAATCGTTGAACATCAGATAAAGCAATCTGATAGCCATGACAGTCTGCCTGAGCCAGGAATTCCTTTAGTGCAGGTCTGCACATAGTGGTTCATGCTGATATTCCTTCAGCCTTTGTTGAAAGGCCTACTTAATAGGCAAGAGGACACACCAAGGCTGCTAAACAACTGCATCTCCATCCCCATGGTGTGCCTGTTGCTCTTGAGAGTCGCCACAGACGTATCTCACTGTCATGAGCAAAGGGAGGACTAGGGCCCTACAATCCCAGCTCAGACTGCTGGCTTCAACACCAGACAATGACTGAAGCACTAGAAAAAAAACCCTTAAGTTCCTTCAGTATCACCTGGTAGGGTCACGGCAGCTATGATTTCAAAACCCACACTCAAAGGCTTCACAGATCATAACTGTCCCACAAGCTACACATGGGGTATTTCTGGCTTAATGTCTTGGAAATTCTTTTCCAAGAAGTAGAGGAATTCAAAGCTGGTAGAAGGATAATTCTGAGCTTCTGGAACTTGGGGGAAATAATGTAAACAGCTATTTTGTTTTAATCAGTCTGATTCTGAAAGGATGAAGAGTTTGCATAACATTTATTCAACAAAAATGAAAGGAAAAACATATACAGTGAAGTTTGTACATTCAATCCCTAAGAGTCACACAGCCTAAGAAACTCCCAAACATTCACAGCAACTCTTACCTAAGGTGGGAACTATTAAATTCCATCAGGGGGATGTGACATTTAGGCATGAAATTTTGGAGTAGAGGTAGGCATGAGACTTCTTTAAGAATTAAAAACATAGATCGCAGCTGAACACTACTAAAGAGAAGAGAAACTTTCAAACCCACAATTCTCCATGCTCTGAAACAGACACATAGTGCAAGTACTCATACTTTAGAAGAAATGTCCTGAACACTGGCATGGAATCACTCTTTTCTGAGTCCCTTTTTCCGAATCCCTTTTTCCTCCTTCTTCTAGCCTGGTCCCCCTTAGTACCTTAGGGAGGACTTCAATTATTTTAAGTGGGTGGGCAACACACACACACAAACAAAACAAAACAAAACAAAAGAAACTCGGAGATACTTGCCAGAAGGCTGGCATGGTTTTTCTCAAGGTTATCTTACAAAGAAGGTGGACATAAGGCCACATTTAAGTAAAGCTACTGCAGGTTTCTGTTATTATTGATTGTACCTGTCTAATGGCATGATAAGCATAGGAATTTTTTTTAAAGGAGTGGAGAGGAAGTTCATTAGAAAAAAAACCAAAACAAAACAACCCAAAAAAACCCAGATGGTTTTCAGCTTATTCATGGAAGTGGCTGCAGGATTGAAAGCACAGTTAAAAATTATATGCTTTTTCCCCTGAAAGTATTAAAGGCAATTTGGTGGTATTTACAGATTACTCAGAGTGGAAGGAAGGATCACCTTCTTATTTATTTTCTAACCTATTTCTCACAATGAGTACTAGGATTTCCCTGCTAAGTGGTGAGATGAGGGGAAATGTTATATAAATCTACATGTAAATTTGAGATTGACAAAGGAGAATGATTTCCTAACTGCTTCATGTTTCCTTGCAATGTAAGCTTTGTTTTGCACAGAAAGGATTTCAAAGATCATTTACAGAAATAGAACCCATAGGGAGGAATGGAAACCTCTCCCATAAAAAGGTTTCTCCTATTTGTGGTTCCACTGAAACAACAAGATCAATGTCAGAAAAAAAAAAAATTAAATAATCACATATTTTTTTCTACTGGAAATGCCAATTCACCAAATTAAAACATTTCATTGGAATGTACCAGCTTTCACTAATCTGTACAAGAAAGGCTTTCCTGGCTCCAAGATGAAATTTCTGGTCAAAACTGCAGAAAAAATGTTTATCACACTCACAGATCTCTTCCCACTCATGGATTCAGCAGCAGAGATAAAGAGAGAGCCACAACAAGTAATAACCTGATGGGAAAGTGACTCAGCGAGGGGGTGGAGAGGAGAGGGATCCACATCTGGGGCTGCTGCCCTCTAGCTGTGTGCCTTCACACTTCAGACATTGCCCCTTTGCAAGGGTGTGTGCCCATTGCACACTCACCAGCATGGGCATGCCCTACCTTTAGCTCTCTCATCTCTAAGGAAAAAGCTTATAAATGCTTCCACTAATGAAAGTGGGAAATGTGATATTTCTGAGGAGCACTAGGAAGGAGGCTGAGGTCTCTGCTCTGAGCCTGTCCGGTTCCATGCTGTGTCTCTCAAGGGTCTGGGTCCACTGAGGACTGAGCCACTGAGGGTCTGTGGGATGCAGGAGGGCTTCAGGGCACAGGGGGAAACATGGGGCAGCTACTGACAGCTACTTCATGTGGGCTACACTTCTGCAAGGATTCTGTAGGAGTTGAAGGCAAGGATGAAAAAAAACCTTTGCCTTACAGATCCCAGATGGGGCAGACTCAGTAGATAACAAGTGAACTTCATGACTCTATGCTGAAAAGAACAGTGTTACCTATTCCCTTTCCAGATTTATATATAGATGTTCCCACTGCTTTTATAACCAACAAGGCATAATTCAACCCTTTATCTGAACATATAGTCTAAAGCTATCAAATTATTATGGACCTAATATTTGCAATTGAATCTTGTGGAGGAAAGTCAAGAACTGGCACTCAAAAAATTAGATCATAGCTTTTCAAGGCACATATGCAACTCTCTCACAATTACACTTTCATTAAGTGTTCCATCAGAAACAAAAATTTCTATAGAATTTGCATGCAGTTTCTTCCTAAAAATGAATACACTTTTTTTTCCTTACACCTTTTTCCCACAAAACGGGCTTCAAAACCATCTCTAAGTCTTAGCAGTAGGTCTGCTTCTTTATGGCCCCTTCACTGGAGCAACAGAAACCCTGTGTGTGCAAACGACATGAAACAATACACATTTGTTCCAAGTCAGGAGTACATTTCACAGCACTGATTGTACCGCATGCATGTTTTTCTCTTCTCTTTTGTTTCACATCTTTTCAATCAGCTCAAGCACAACCCACACAGATTAATATGCTGATTTATTTATCTTATAATGTTTAACTTTAAACACACAGAGAGCTGGCAGCAGAACAGTCCCACAATCCCACATCATCCACCACAGTTTTCTCACAGCCTCCACAAAACTAGACGTCAAACTGCAATCAACAGTACACATTCTGCAACATCAGATCACTCTCAGAGATTAACTAAAGGCTTCACTGAGTTTCAGCTTTGAGGCAGATGGGGTTCCGGACAAGTCTGGCAGTCCAAAAAAAATAGAAGTGCTACTAGAATTAGCAAGCTCTGTGTTCATGCCCAGTAAGGCTTTGGAGAAAGAAAACTGCCACAACTCTCAAAAGTTCTGGGGGTAGGCAAAACAGTATTTACATAAACCAAATGTCTTGGCTACTACCAAATATTTTGTGCAAAAAACACTGTATACAAAAGTATTATGGATTCCTAGGTTTGTTTCTCTTTGCTCAAAGCAAATGTATTTTAAGTGTACATATATTATTTGCCAAGTGATACCAGTGTGGTCTTGAGGATGTTCTTCAGAATCTAAGCAGGCCAGACATCTTGGCCTTCCTGAATATTTCATTCTCTCTGCGGTATCATCCTCCAAACCACGCAGGCAGACGAAGTGCTTATCCACACACCCATATGTACACACAGGCTTTTTTGTCTTTTTTGAATTACTGCTTTTGTTAAGCATTTGCACATATGGTCCCAAAGGATAAATGAGCAAAGGCTTAATCTTTAACATGGCAATATTTACATAGGAAGCAGAGTTGTGACAGAGATGCATCCCTTCTGCTATTGTTCATAATGGCCATGTAAATCCTACCAACATCAGATGACTATTTTCTGAATAAAAAAAATCAAAAGAATTTAAAGAGAAGACTGTAAGAAACAAAATGAAGAAACAGTATATATGCTTTCATGATAAATTAGTAATTTTTTTTTCAAACCCAGCGTTTTAACTCATGGGCTCAAACAGTTATAAACAACAGACTAAGTCCATGTCCAGTTATATGAACATAAATCCAGACTTACTTTACTGGAGTGAATGGAGTTACGCTGGATTTGCATTTGTGTGAGCACACACTCTTGGCTGTGAGTCACTTGCTCATAGCCTAGTTGCAGAGATTGGCAGAGGACTGTGGGCTTCCTCCACCAGCATTATTATATCTCATTGGAGAAGAATATTTATGTATTTAATATATAGAAAAATATGTTGAATACCGCTTTTTAATTCAAATTCTGAAAATCAACTTGTGACGTTATTAAGAAATTGAAGAGAACTACAACCTTAAAAAGTAAAGTCAAAAGAGAACATCAGATAGAAACTGAGGAAATTAGCAGTTATCCTGGGCTCAAAACACTGACTAGTATGTTACATTTATGAATGCATTTGGAAATATACATTTTTAAATCTTTAAATGAGTACTCAATTTATACTGGATATGCATATAGCTCACCATTTAAAACAAATTCTGTCTGAAATAACATTAGGCAAAAGCAGTGGCTGGAGTACTGACACATAACATGAACAAGCAGAGACAAATAAATATGTTTATATGTCCAAAGCAATCTTTATTAATTATTTATCTCCCTGCCTCTTTCATTTATACAGATAAATTCTAGTGTTCTTACGTTACACTCTGATCTTTCCCTGTACTTATGCATAAAAAACTGAATGAAAAAAATTGCCCCATTTTACTCAGAAAGTTAGAAAAGCATAAATTCAGAGTTATAATTAGCCTTCTTAAACTTAAATACTGTATCTCTTTTTGAGTTTGCTGCAAAACCATTAGTGAATGTATTTTTAAAGCTATGATTTTCAGAATCTTCAGTTTCAACTTCTGTGCTTTCAGTGTCAAACATCTTTCATAATTTATGTTTCTCTTCAAAGCGAAATAAACACCATGTTTCCACTTTTACTAAATCTTATTGATACTAATTTATTTGTCAAATCTAGCATAACTTACCCAGGAGGTATATTTCTGCAGTACAGATTGTCTCAAGGCTGTGAATAAGTTGTAATCTTCAGAACTATGATGTATTTGGTGCGCTGCCCACAGTATATTAACCTCTGCAAAACACATAATTTTTAATGAGGTATGTACTAGAGAACAAAGCAACACTTGTTTCCCAAGGCCTTTTTTCTCAAGCTAAATGCAGCTAATCCCCCAACTTACACTGCTGTTTTACCATGGTATAGCAGGTAATAAAACGTAATGCTCAGAGCTGAGTTTGGGTAGGTTAGGTTGAATGTCAGCAAGTGGACACAAGTTAGTGTAACTTTCATGCTGAGGAAAGCAAAGCTGTGGCAGGAACTGAAATCAGTGCTGGAAGAGGAGAAGGATGTGTGAGATGAGAGTTAAGCAGCCAGAAAGCCTGAGCTGAGTCCTAGTAACATGAGTCAGTAGGAGTTCTGTTACAAGGTTCAGAGGGATAAGGACTGAGGATGCTTTCATGCCCCCATTTGTTTACTTAAGATACATTTCAAGACTAAAAGGGGATACAAAAAGTTCAAAAAATCTTATGCTTAATTTTAAACAATGTAACTGGTCTGCTGTTATGCTTATAGTTTTCTGGAACATGTAAATCTTCAAGCCCGCTTGTACCACAGACCCAAAAATACAGCTAGTGCCTGCCCATTGGTGACAAATGGCAGAACAAACAGCCGCTCGCTGGGAACTCTGGACTCAGAGGAGAGCAGTCACTCTATTGTGTTACAGTCAAAAAGAAGTTACCTAAATAAGAGCAAAGCCAGTGTCAGTCACGTGCTCTGAAGACATGGCACCTCTAATGCACTGCAGTGTAGCGGGATACTTCAAAATCCTGATTGGATTTCAATCCATTTTCTCACTTAAGTAAAGATCTGGGTGGCAGCTCTGCAGTGGATACAGATATTTGGACAGTCAAGACAGAAATGGTCATGATGAGCAGATGTACAGGCACAAGCTATGAGGATGACTTTAATTATAGCAAAATCAGAAAGTGGGTGGTTAATCCAGCCCAAATAATGCCTATGTAGCAAAAATCTAAATTTGAAGTGACGTGAATTCCAATGGATGAAGAGCACACAAAACCTCAGCCGATTACAGAAATTAAAGGTCTACTGGTTGCCAGCTGCACACTCCTTCTGCCACTGCCTTGTTCCACCAGAGCAATTAGAGAAGTGCGTTTGGCAGATACTAGAATCACCTTCACAGAATTATTTTATAGTGTGTATTTAAAGGCCTAAAATTGTCTGTTGCCAAGCTTATATCAAATAGTTTAGGTCCAGTGATTGACATATACTTGCAATGTGAAACAATGACAAAAAAACTGCCTTAATGAATCTCAAGGTGTCCTCACTATTTCAGAGGACTAGCTAGTCTTGTAGCAGGAGGTAACAGTCTTGTACGCTAGAAATTGAACATTTTAAAGTTAATTAATTTTGACTATTCAGTAATTTACATTAAAACATAATTTTTCAATGTCCTCTAAGTCCTTGAAAATCCTTACAGTTGCTGAATTATAATTTCAACTAACATGAATGATTTAATACTCAATCTCAGAGTTCTTCCTTCTTTAAAAACATTTGTTCATGGAGGAACAAGTGTTCACTATATCAAGAATTAGTGATCTTACTCAAAAGAAAATCCCAACAACATCTGAATGTGACTCTGCCTAATGATTTCACTCAGATATTAATTATTCAGGTGAGCTTCAGTACTCGATAATAATTTGTATTTGAAATGTTTCCCAAGACCTCGACAGAAGCTAAATGAGTGAACAAAGCATCTGAAAAGGTGGAGGTTAAAGACTTGTCTCCTTAGTTGTTTTAAAAGCATTTACTTCCTATCACAAACTGTGTGTAACACAAGCCTCCACTCAATGAAGTACAGCTGTACAAACAGGGTACAGTAACTGGATCTTGCTTCTTTCCCCCAGTCATTTTTCAGCATTATGAAAAGTTCAAGGAAGGGAATCTATGATGATTTTTACAGTCTACTTCCATTGTAGTTAAGGTCAAACGGTTTTCAAAATGAATTACTAAAAAGGCATTTTATTAGCATTCATTTTCCGTTAAACTGCCTCTTACGCTAACAAGAATATGGAAAAAGGTAACTGAATATCAGAAAAGTGTTAATCTTTTAGATGTCCAAGTCAGCTTAAATGATCTATCATTCAAAAATATACCACAGGAATATTAGGGACATAAACAAACAATTTTGCTATAAGTAATTTAACTGCCAAAGCTGTTTCTGACTTCTGTTATGGTTAAGTAAATTAAATCCTGCTCCTTAATCCTATTCTTGTTGGCATCAATGGCACAGGCTATGTTAAATTCCTTGACAAAATAGACAGAATTGCTGATAAAAAATAATTTTAGTCTTGAAAATTTACCTGATGAAACTGATACAAAATATCTTTTTATTTGAAACAAAAGAATAACATCATGAATAAGTGTGAAACAGATCACCACAAAACTCAGTCTTTAATAATTAGTACAGTACTTTAAAAATATTATCATCACAATGCCTAAAAGGCATCTCACAAATGTAAGAAACAGACCAAGCACTCTTCAAGGAATACAGCTGCCTGCTCACCATCTACTCACAACAGAAACTGAAATGTTTGTGTCTATAGAAGAGTTTTGATTTCAGTGTTTCATTCATAATGGTAAGTAGAAGCAAAACGAGAAAAGTTATTTGAATGAGAACAAAAATATAAAAGACTCTCGCACATGCACTTTTTCAAATGCATTTTTACATACTGATGCAAAAAAAGAGAGCTAGATTAAAATATGGCCAAATCAATTTTTTAAAAAAACAATCTATATAGAAAACAGGAAGTACTATTGCATTTTGTAGACCTCTCCATTAAAATTCTCCTATGAAGCTACAGAAAAAAAGGTGATGGAATTGCAGAAGTCACCCCAACAAGCCGCTAATGAAATTTTTTATGTTTCCTAAGTCAAATGTAGTTGGTACAATTAAAAAAAATACATAACTGCAACACAAACATGCACAAAAGCCCTGCTTTTGATTCATGAGACTGAATGTCATAGAATTATAGGACAATTCAGGCTGGAGAGAACCACATGAGGTCCAACTACCTGAACACAGTAGGACCAGTTCTTGAGTACTACATCCAGTCAGGTCTTTGAAAATTTCCATATCTTCTACTGTTATGATGACTTATCTTTAAAAGAAGATAAAGGTGGCATTTCCTTTTCCTGTAGTTGTGAGGAAAGTTGCACAAATTATAACCCAGCACAACAAGGGCCTCCTTTCCTAGCGTGGCTTTCCTCAGGCTCCTGTTAATGGGTGGAGAACTGATAAGCTATTCGCATCTGGGGAAGAACAGAACAACTACGTCTTGATGCTGTAGTTAATGATTGTTTAATACATTATTACTAGCATTGCACAAAACTACTGTTTTCTTCCATCACTCAGTATAAATTGTAAAAGGATCAGCATGTAATATCAAAAGATAATACATTATGTCATGTAGATAGGTGAGGAAGGAAAGAAAATTGGTGCTGCACAGGAACTGCTAGATGATTGAAGAGTTATCATCTGGCCTTCAGTATTCACTTTGGCTCTTTAAATCTCCGTGAAGCTATTTGAGTCAGATGTGTAGCTGCTAAAATCAGTTGACTCCAAGTGGTTGAGAAATTTGTATTAAAATATTAATTCCAAAGGAAAATGAGATGTGTCTTTTTTAGCATGAGTTCAATATATGAATTCTACTAATTGAGAAAGAAAAGTACAGGCTGAGGGAAGTGGCCTGGAGAAGACTTTGGGAGCCTTGCAGCACCAATGAAGCTCCAGTTACTAAGGAATTGGAGTCAGGCTTTTTGCAGCAGTCTCACTCGGTCTTCTTTTCTGGGTTTTCCAAAAGGAAGAAAGTCTAATGATGATATCCTTCTTTTCTACTTCTTCCCCCCGCTC